TGTTGCCCCGCATTTTTGATCGATCATAAAAAAAATCATACAACCGCTTTTTTTTAAACCTTTTAAATATGTTAAATTTATCATGTTTATCTCATTTTTCAACCATGAAAATTTTCAAATTTTAAGCTGCTAATTGCGATAGGATGTCTGTTAGATTTGATGTTACGTCTGGTATTCCAGATGATGTTAGAACATTGTCTGGAAGACTGCTTAATTAATTAAGATCCGGATTAATTATGTTCAGTTACTCGAGCAGAATAAAGTGTAAAAAGTAAAGAAACACACAGTATGATATCGCAGTTCAGTGCGCACACCTACGTCTGCGGGGTCACGCCCAGACAATAAACAGTTCACTATGTTCTAGAAATTACAGACACCAGACGAAATTATTCACTCAAGGACTCCCTCCTAGAATATGACGCCGATGTGACGAATCTCCACAGTGACTGTTTAGCGTGCACCACACGTCTTCTATTCACCTAGCGAACTCCCTTCGACCGGCAGAGCTTCTTCCCGAAAGCAACAAATCTCTCTCCCGAATGACGATCTCAATAACTCATAAAAACTCACAGACGTTTCTCTGAATATTTTCTCAGTAATAAGCTCTCAAATTCACAGACTTTTTCTCTAAATATATTATATTAAATCTGTACTTCTATATGCTCTGAAACAAAACCTTTAAATAAAGTTAAGAAAATCTCATTTAAATTCACTCTTGATAAGATCTCTATTATTTTCATAATTCTCTCTTCTAGATAGCTTCATGTTGTAGCTCTCAAACATCTCATCTTAAAATATACTCACAGCCCATATCTTTATTCAGATTCAATTTTTACTTCAAATCAATATATATATATATATATATATATATTCTCTTGCCAAATCAATCTTCCATTGCAATTCCAATTCAATTTAAATTCGAATTCAACCAAAAGCTAAAAACTGGATAATTATCACAATAAAATATCCACATAATCTTTTTGATCCTTATCTCTTTTGATCTTTATCTATTTCTAGAATTTCATTTAAATTCAAATAACCAATACTTTATCTTCCTTTGATTAATGTCTTATCCTTATATCTCTAAATCTGATTTTGAATCTTCTTCTGCAATACGAAATTTTTTTGAACCTGTTTTTTAAATTTTTATAAGATTGTCAATAAATTATTAACTAATAAAAATACCTGACAATGTCTATTAAAATAACAAAAAGAATCGAATAAAAAAATTTTATGTGCGGTGCAAAACTGCAAAGCTTATTTTGAAATTCTTCACGCATATTAAATTGATGGAAAAATAAAATAAAATAAGACTGAATATTTTTTTTTTAAAGGATCGGACTCTGGTTGATATGCTCTGATACGCTGTATCCTTGTTGGAAAACAATTTCTTATTCGACTACAATTAGCATTATTAATCCTAATTTTAAATGGTAATTATTTACCTTGATAAACAAGTAATAGGCACCTGTATTTAAACTCCCACAAACCAAAAATCTCTCTCATTCTCATATTTCACTCTTTTCTTCGCTTTCAATTTTCTCACGCTATGTGGGCTTTTTTCCTTTATCATGTGGGTTAGTTTCTTCCTTTAAATAATACTTTCTTTTTCTTCTTTCTAGCTCTACAACGTAAATAGAATTTCTTTTAGGAGTTTTGTTGATGCTCATGCGTTTTTTTTTTTTTTTTTTATTAATGATCTTGCGAATGTGTTCTGAATGTTTTTTAATAAAATAATCTTCCTTTGAATTTAAAGAATAAAAAATTCTATTAATTTGATTTAAGAAAATATATATATATGGGCTTTTAGGATCTTTTAACATGATTGGTTATATTTTTCGTGCTCAAACTTCTTATTATTTTTTTTTTATCAAATGCTTGTGTTTTGACTGCTACATTCTATGTATTCTAAGAACTATATTACATTACTAAACATGTATTTTAGCCTTTTTTTTTTTTTTTTTGGCTCTGACATGTATTTTAGGTTTAAATCTTTACCATCTGTTTTTGATAGTATAAAAATAATAGTAGGTGTTAGATTAATAGTATACAATCTTTTTTTTTTTTTTTAGTAATTTTAGTTTTAATTTAGGGAAACATCTATACGTTTCTCTATCAATTTTATAAGAATCTAATTTATAAGTGTCCACATTAACCACACACAACTTTCCAGTCATTTTTCCCCTTTAAAAACGCCATTATAACAGCAGTTCAATGTATATTTACGGACAAGACATGAGGACGTAAAAATTATATGTGGAATACACCATTTTTTATTCCCCTTTGAAAGTGGAATGAATACAAATAGTTTTTTCGTCCTTGTTTCTTGCCCGCAAATAAACATTGACATTCACATAAACACCGATTCGATGGAAGGATCGAAGCCCAACAAGTAGTAGTAGACCTTGCGGTCCATTCAATTCGTTGATTCGAGTTTTTAATTCGAGTTGAGATGTGATTTTATGTGAGAGCTTTTTACTATAGCAAAAAAGTTAGATGTGACTGATTCTGAGAACTTTTACTGTAATAAAACTCGAATCGGTGAAATGAACGGGGCCTACGGATTGCTTCTCGAGGTATGCACGTGTTGTGATACTATATTGTTTTCTACGAGTTTCTTATACAATATAGCACTACATTATTATGGATTCAAATTACATGTCCAATTTTATTGTCTTAATCAGTATCTAACCAATAATTTGTACTACATTATTTTAAAATTTTGAATTATCTTTTAATCAACTTTTCAATGATATAATGTTTTTGTTTATTAAATATATATCATAATGTGAGTGCCTGAAAACCAATTAAGATACTAAAAATTAGACAGATAATTTGAGTCTCATTATTATTGACGTGTTGTCTAACATTTAAAGAAATTTATACAAACGACAAGAAAATAAAAATCGAAAAGAACCCAAGAAAATCACATTTAAAGAAATTTAAGAGGATGTTTGGTAGAGGGATTCGTTTCCTGATTCGAATCATGATTCGTGGTTCGCTACAGTAGTTTTTCTCACAAAAAATTCACATAAATCGAAAATAGTTCGAATCACATGGTTTGAATCCTCCAACCAAACGTATATAAACACCAATCGAGTAACAGCAAATACGAAAATGACAAACAAAAAACATTAAAAAAAATGACATAAGTGTTAAAGCTACAACGATCCAAAAGGACACGAATTGAAGAAATGAGGAGAAGCATAAGAATTGATAAATTGAGATAATTGTTGAAATTTTTAACTTTCTTTTTCTAAGTAGCCATAAAATATATATATATATATATATATGTGTGTGTGTGTGTGTGTGTGTTGATTAATCACATTTATCCTAACTTTCAACCATAAAAAATTTCAAATTTCAAGTTTTAAACTGCTAATTGCGATTGGAATGCTAACCTTTTATGCTATATATTAAAATAACAAAAAGAAAATAAAAATTTTTATTTGTAGTGCATAAAGGCAAAGATTATTTTAAAATTCCTCACGCATATTAAATTTAATGGGAAAAAAAAAGATAAAAACTAAAACAAGATAGAATATTTTTTTTTTTTTTAAAAGGATAGGACTTTGGATAATTTGCTCTGATACGTCGTGTCCTCATTGGAAAACAATTCCTAATTTGACTACAATTAGCATTGATAAACAAGTATAACCTGTATATAAACTCCCATAAACCAAAAATATCTCTCATTCTCATATCTCACTCTTTTCTCCGTCTTTAATTTTCTGGTGAGCATTTTTTCTTCATCATATGTTCATATTAGTCACTTCCTTTATTATTTTTTTAGGGTACTTCCTCTAAAGCATAGTTTCTTTTCCTTTTTCTTTTTACTGGCTTTACAAAGTAGAACTTCTTTTAGGAGTTTAATTTGGGAAAAAAAATATTATGATTACGTTGATGCTCGTGCGCTTTTATGATAGTCTTGCAAATTTGTTTTGCATCTTTTTTAATGAAATAATCATCTGTTTACAAATTAATTAGATTTAAGAGTAAAGGGGCTTTCAAGAATCCTTCGACATGATTGGTCCAATGTAGTAATATGGTGTTTATTGCATGCGACTATAACTTTTAGGATAAAGTGAAATCTAGTATGAGATAATACACTTCTTATTTTAACTCGTTTCCAAAATTTATTATAATTTTATGTTATATGCCAATCTTTACACTTTATATGTGTGGAATTCGATTTGGTCGGTTGAAAGTTCCTAAAAATATATAATTTTATGTTTCCTGTTACATGTCAATCTTGCAATTTTATTTTCAATTCGTTCAGTTGCGGCTTCATATTTTAGAAAAAGAAAACAATCTATTTTTGATACAGCCATGGTAGGATTTTTACTTTTCTTTATTGGATGAAACTTTTAGTTTTTGGATTAATTTTTTAATGTTATGATCTGTCAGTGTCTACGTTAGCCAAATACAATTGTCCTGCCAATTTGAGAGAAGAAGCCTTTATAACAACAGTTTGATGTGTATTTACTGACAAGCATGACAATCTAAAAATTATGTGTTTAATATTCTATATTCCACTTCGGACATGGAATCAACACAATAGTTTTTAGGTTGTCGTCCTTAGTCAGTTAATAACCACGGACTTCACATAAACAACACATCTACGAAACGACCAAAACCTAACAAGTGCTGGACAAAGGTTTGGTTACAGAGGTATGCACTATGCACATATTGTTTGGTGATATATCTATTTTTTAAAATTTTACTACTGCTCCCTCAAGCAAAGCTCTAGTGTATCTAATTTTGCTTCAAAACGAAGAAACGAAGAGCATAATTTTTTTCCCTAAAAAAAAAAGCATAAAATCTAGTTTAATATCACTATAATCAATCAGAATTCAGAACCATCTCAAACTTGAAAAGTTAAAAAGGTTAGTATGGTGGAGCCTCCTTGAGTAATTTACTAATGTTGGAATAATCTATAAAAATGAACTCTGTAGAATAAAGAAGGCCTTGCTATTTGCTAACCAAGCAATAGTCTCTTTAACATATATTGGAAATATACAAAAAGGGAAGATTGAAATTGTCTTATTCTCACAACATCTCATATGTAACCTAAAACTAAACATTCCCCAACCAAAGCTACAAAATTGCACCATCACGCTACTATATATACAGAAGAGAGCTAGAGGGAATGGGAATTCACCTAAGTTTATTCTGAGCTACAGCTTGGCATAACTCTTCCTCATAGAATAGAACTCGATTCGAAGCCAATGATTTACACAGTGGCTTTGCTAAAACAGAAGGCACCATGCATCTAGCAGGTAGAGCTGACTCCTGAAAAAGAACAGCGGCAACTTGCCGCACCTCGGAGGCTTTGAGGCGAGATGGGGGACGAGGACCTTGCCTTGGTGCTTTTGGGGTGTGCGGACTAGGCAACCAGATTCCTTTTCCATCCCCTTTGCTGCAAAAGATCATGAATACATGGTAAACATACTTATTAAAAAGGATTAAGAACGTTAAGACTGACAAATAATTACTTTTGAGGACTAACCTTGCAAACGGCCAATGTTCTGTAGGCCGGGGTGTCATCGTTCTCAACATCTCCTGCCGAGAGCGATCTGGGGTTGTATAATTAAAGTAGAACTGCCTTGCAATCAAAACCTGTTTATGATAATATATGACGCAGGTTATCCATGATCAAAATTGCATTAACTTAGGTAAGCAAGTAAAGAGTGGGGGGAAGCAGGACTGAAAGAGAGGGACTCACAGCTTTTCTAACTCTCTGAGAAACATGGAAAACTGCCCTCAACTGGTCATGATGCAAATGGCAGAGTACTTTTACCTACAGTTTTGGGAAACAAAGATAATTAAATGATTAAATTAGTAACCACGTTGATATTGAATGGAAAGAGATAAATGTTGCAACAAATAATAAGAATGATAGGAATATATCATAGAACATAGTGATCTCACTTGCAGTATCTTTATGATGCGTAAATATAATCCCTTATATAACAAATCCAAAATCCTATCCTCCTATTCGTGTAAACAATTATAGAACAGAGGTATATAATAATGATTCATAATACTCTACCTAGTATTGTACTGCTATATAAGACATTTACCACAATTCTCCGCATATACACTGAAAAATCTACATTTGATTACATTCACGACATATCCAGTTGCCTAATGCCTAGTAATCATTTTGATCCTGTACTATACTATGGATACTATGGCCAGATTACAATCAGAATAACATTCTAAGAGCGTGGTTATTATATCCTGCCAATCAAATAATCTCACATTTTCCATTAACTGTCGACTATAATCATCCGATCAAGCACCTATAGCACAATGAGGCACCTATAGCACAATGAGCGAGCCTACTTTTTAACGGTGATACAGTTCGAGCATGGTTATATGGAAAAGGGAACAAAACGAACAAAAAACAAATATAACTCAGCTTCAGAAACTCTCAGCAAGAAAAGTATTCGACGTACCATCCAATAGAAAATCTACATCATCATTCTAAAACAAGCAAATAATCAACGAAAAATAATACAAGTTATGAACAAGTTAACAAAAAAGATACCAGCAAATCCATGGGAAGAGACTCAAGCCTCGACTCTGACTGGCAAGCCTCGAACGTAGGAGTCTTCGGGGTTCCAAAAAAACTACTCTGTTTGACTAAATTCACTGGCGAAAGCATCAAAGGACTTTTGTCAATAGCATTCTCTTCCAAAACAATGTCACTCTCAGCCTTCTCGGTCTCCAACACAGCGACTCTTTTCCTCCCAAGATCAGTACAAGATTTCGAAGCCGAGGCCTTGCTGTACCGAAGCCGAGCAAGAGCACGGGGCTTCAGATACTTGCTTGAGCCCCTTAATCGCTTTTTCTGTTTCCGATTCCTCTCTTTTGGAGACACTTTCCCCATACTATTTCCTCCTTCCAATTAAACCCTAAATTCCCAAATATAATTGTGTATTTTTGCACTTATACACAGAAAATGCTCCAATTCAAAGTCAAGTAATTAAGAAGCCACTAATTTCACCTGAAAACACAATATCAAGCCTCGGATTCAGCTGAAGAGTAAAATCAGATCTAATTAAAAATCCAAAAACAAAAAATGAAAGAGTCGAATCAAATTAAGCATATATTACCTCGTCAAGACATTGTTGGCAATCAGAAATCGTCCCGAGCTACGGTTCAACTGTTCTGAACAGAGAAATTTGGTCAGCACGCGAAGAAGAAAAGCTTCGAAAAACTCGAAATATTCAGAAATGGAAGAGGAAAAGACAGAGAACTTTCAGAAGCAATAAATGAAATAGACAAAGCACAAACCTGGAGAGTAGCCGAGAGATCTTCAGAAGCAAAAGGGAAGAAGAAGAAGAACCTAGAGAGAGAAAGAGCGAGGAGAGAGAGAGAGGGTCTGAGAAGAAATCTACGGTTTTGAAATTTATTTGAAATTCACGGATTTGCCCGCCAAAAACTTTTGAGGAAATACTCTGCTTAAAAACAAGAAACCGTAGAAAGCGCTTTTGGCGTATAAATATTAAATATTATAGCTGGTGCATACGCGGCGTTCTATTATTGGCTACTGATTAACTCCAGGCGTAGTGGGTCCCATGTTTGGCTCCACTGCTTAGGTCACTGGGCCACATCCGACGGCGGAGATTGCGTCGTCGCTTGATTTGGTTTCCTAATTTGTTGATTTTTTAATTCAATTCAAAAAAGATATTATGATTTTGGGAGGGAAATCAAAAGCTATAAGGCCATTTGGGAGGGAAACGAAAAGAATTGAAATGCCCATACTGCCATTGACTTGTACCTTTTTTGTACGGTCCTATGAGCTTTTTTGGGTGAATAGTGAGGGTGTTTTGGGAATAGAATTTGTTATGTAGGCCCAGGCATTGGTGGGAGCTGAGAGTTGACCGTCGATCAGGTGATACTCATGATGCGATTTAATGAGGGAAAGTACAGATTAGACCCCCTCTGGCGCAATAAATCACGCGTGAATGGCGCTTCTTTTGCCTTCTGGATATGGGCATTGCAGTAAATGGGCGTTTCAGTATTTATGAGAGAGATTTAGGGCTTGTTCTTTTGGAGTTTAATTTGAATATAATTTTTGAGTTAAATTTAAGTTATAACTTGAGTTAAACTTGTAACTTGAGTCTATGTTTAGTTGTGTACATTTGAGTTATGGTTTGAGATAAGAATCTTTTTGAGTTTGTGTTTAAGTGAGTCAAAACTTAAATTTGTATTTAGATAGTATTTTAATAAAAACTCAATGCTGATGAAAAATTTTAATAGGGCATATGGGTCGGGTTTTATTCGTCTTTTCGTTGTCAACGCTAGGGCTGTAAGAAATCACCCCGAACCCGACGAACCCGGCCGAGCCGAGCCGATCCTACCCGAAAATTACGGGTTTCTAATTTTTTATTTAATTTTCAGTTTGAATTATACCTAACCCGCACTGCGCGGGTAGGGCGCGGGGTGGGGTTACATGAACCCGAGGTAACCCTACCCGGCCGAACACGTTCAAAGTAGGTAAAACAATGTTCAACACTTCAAATTCTTACTTTCATAAGTTTATGGACTTTATGCTTTTAAACTGTTAACTTATTTATTTATTGCTCATTTACTACAATAGTATTTTATCATTTATTTGCATATAAGAGCCTCTTAGATTAAAATTGATGAAGTCATAGATTAAAAGTGGTTTTCACCAACCCGAGTAACCCGACCCTACCCGAGGTTACCCGAAAGGTTGTGGGTTTGTAGACTTAAGAGAGTGTCGCGGCCCAAAATTTTCTCAACCCGCACTAGTAGGGTAGGCTCAATTTTTCGGCTCAACCCTACCCTACCCGGCCGATTTACACCCCTAGTCAACGCATAGAAAAAAAAATCATCTCAATCAGAATTAAAACGAAAAAGTTATAGCATTTTTAAGAATAGAAAAAATACTGTTCATTAATTTGAGTTCGAGTTTCTGAACTCGAGTTGAAGGTGAAACTTGAACTCGAGTTTTAGTCCTAAACTCGAGTTTGAACTCGAGTTTAAACTCGAGTTTAAACTTAAAAGAACATGAACTCGAATAAAATTGTAACTCGAATTGCATTTTTTTGAGTTTTTCACTTAAAAGAACAAGCCCTTAGGCCCCCCGTTCACTTCGTTAATTCGAGTTTAGAATTTGAGTTTTTTTACAGTAAAAAGTTTTTACAAACAATCACATCTAACTTTTTTACTACAGTAAAAAAACTCTCACATAAAGTCACATCTTAACTCGAATTCTAAATTCGAATCAACGAAGTAAACGGGACCTTAAGGAACGACAGTGACAGCAAAAACGACAACAACTGGGAAAGAAGAGTAACATTGAGAAACGACATCAGCAGGAGAAACGACAATTAGCCCATGTAACTACGAAACGACATCAACAGGGAAGGAAAACAAAAGAGGAAGACGATCTATTAAGAAAGGATAACTTGCATTGATACACCTGAAAAATTTTAATAAGGTATATGGGTGAGGTTTTATTTCTCTATTCGTTGTGAACACGTAGAAAAAAAATCATCTCAATCAGAATTAAAACGACAAAGTTATAGCGTTTTTAAAAATAGAAAAAATAATGTTAATTAACTTGAGTTTGAATTTAGGAACTTGAGTTTATGGGAGAAATTGAACTCAAATTTTAACCTCAAATTTAAGTTAAACTCAAATGTTACAAAAGAACATAAACTTAAATAAAATTATAACTTAAATTAAAAAAAATTTTGAGTTTAGGTGCAAATAAACAAGTGTTTACAAATACCAACTCATGTGTTCGTATACTGTTTATGGGGGCTGCAGTGGGCGAAATTACGGTTGGGCCTTAATTATAGGCCCAGTAAGCTATGTCCATTTTGGGCCCATATACACCTGAGACCTGCACCTTTAGGATCACGAGGCCTGCTATTCTCAACAAAATTTTTGAAGAACAGAAATTGTATACATTGCAACTTATTTTTCAATTGTTTTTTTTTTAATATCTTTTACAGCCTATTTTATGCTTATTTTCTAAAAAATTTGCCTTAAAAGAGCTTTAAAAGATTGATCGTGATCGGACTGTTGTTTTTTTTTTTTTTGAGCCTCATGTTTTCTTCTTAGGTTTAGTGGATTCTTCTACAAAAATAATAATAACAATATTATTATTAACAATAAATTAAATAAATAAACTTCACATTCCGTATTTTGCTAATTATGGAATAAATTAATTGACCATTACCAAAAATGATATTTGCAATGCCAATTGATATTTCTACAAAAAGAGTAGTAACATGGAGATTGCCTTGGCTGGGCTTTCAGCCTTGTGGCTAGGATGGCCTTATCATTTCTCTATCAGCCCAACTGCCAAAGGAGAGGTTTTTTTCTTTTTGGTTTATTTGTTTGTCTATTATTTCTTCATAAAAATTAATAAAATAAATAAAATAAGGATAAAAGAAGAGAAGGAAGATATACATAACACATGGGAAGCACATTGGGAACGGTCGAAATTGAGTGTGCAAAACATAACAACCGGCTAACCCTCAACACAAGAGTGCCCTTTCTTTTTTTTCTTTTTTTTTGTTGCTAATCACACAAGAATGGCTTTTTGTCCCCCAACTTTTTTTTTTCCTCTAAAATGGTTATGAGTTTTTAGTCAATAATCTGAATGATTGGTGAGGAATTGATGATGATAATGATGTTGTTAAATAATGATGGTAATAACATGCATGCTAGTTCTCTCAATTAAAAAGCCTTTTTCAATCCTCAAATTCCTCCTAAATAATTATGAAAAATGCTTAGCAGTATCACCGATGTTAAGCATCACAATTTATAGAAGATGAACCTCACATATTATAGGATCCACATTTTATTAGTGGGTGATACTGATTACTAGTGCGGTCACTGTTCAATAATTATATTTGACTTTTGCTAAAATTGAGTTTAAAAGGCTCAAAAACATGTAATTAACTCCTTAATCTCTCTCTTGTAAATCAGTTAGAAAAATACTAATTAGGAAAAAGATATAAAAGTGAAAGTTTGTGGACAAACAAGGCTAGGGTGGATAAAGCAACAACAACAAAAAAAACAGATAATGCAAGGACCACACTTTCTAGGCCATGATTTTAAGCATGAATGAGTACAAAACCACTTAGATAGGACTTATCTTTTTAGAATGAATTATGTGACAATATGTTAAATAAAAAAAAAACTGTGTTGGTGTTGTGCAACTATGGACTATCCAACCACATCAAAATAAATGAGTAAACAAATTTAACGAAGTTTGACGATTTAAGTCTCGTTCATTTTACCGATTTAAATTTAGAATTCGAGTTTTGCTACAGTAAAAAGCTCTCAGAAACAGTCACATTTAATTTTTTTGTTACAGTAAAAAGCTCTTACATAAAATCACATCTCAACTCGAATTAAAAATTTGAATCAGTGAACTAAACGGACCCTTAGAATTCAACAATACTTTTTTTTTTCCTGAACCTCATCAAAAATTTATTCTTTTTTTATACACACGCCTAGATTGGCCAAATCGTGTGGTGGCCAAAAATTGCCTATTGTGCGTGTAATTTTCAAGCACGACATTGTGCCAGCTTAGCAACACAAGGGTAGTGGACTCACCACCTATTAATTTTTTCAACATTCTCACTATATAATATGTAGTTTTGAAGGCATGGAGTTAAATAAGGTCCCAGAAAACGACTAAGAAGCCAACTTCTTAATTGGTTAGGCAGAGATTCATAATTGGCTATTTAAAATAATAATAATAAAAAATCAACCCATATGAAATTATCTCCAATTTGTTTCATTCTAAATATTGCATTAAAATGAATTAATCTCATCAATAATGACAACCAAAGAGTCACATTCTTTGTTTTTTGTTTGGACCCTACAGATGAAAGGCCATATATAACAAATAAACAAAGTCTTTTTTTTATTATTTGCAAAGTCACATGTACCATTATATTAATGAAGGTGGTTATGTTTTGTTATGCTATTATGTATATAAACATTCAAGTACTTTTGATGTATTCTTGTGGCGGTTGGAATATAAAAAAGGCTCAAATTAACAACTTTTCTTGTGTACATGTATTAAAAATAAATTAATGATGAATCTTTACGTAATTACAAAATATGAAATGTTCATTACAAATCATTGAAACTATCTGAGGAAAAATCAACCTCGTATTGAAAACTCAAGATTTAAGCCATGTTCATTTCACTAATTCGAGTTTAGAATTTGAATTTTACTATAATAAAAAGCTCTCAAAAACAGTTACATCAAATTTTTTTACTACAGTAAAATACTCTCACATAAAATCACATCTCAACTCAAATTAAAAACTCGAATCAACGAACTA